ATATTATACTTAGTTTCTGGGGATTCACTTGGGTGATAAAACTAAAAACTATATGGGTATACAAGGAAATGATTAATAACCATGATGGTAGTGACTTCTAGGGAAGGAGAAGGGGTTAAGATTGTGACACATGGAATTACACCAGAGTACCACACAATCCTATTTCTCAACTCAAAGGTTCCCCTAATAATAGCTTGTTAAGCTAGAAACTTATTTTGTGTTTTTCTTTATGTGTGTTTTATTTTATAATAAACAGCTTTTAGAAAAAAAATCGTAAAACAGAATACCTTTGTCATTTGGCTAAAAGCTGACACAGTACATGACATTTCTTTGGAAGAGATGTTTCTTAAATATTTTGGCTTTTCATTTGAACATATCTGTAATGGTTTTTAAATGCCTCCTTTGTCTAATTTTATTATCTTAACAGTTGGTCACATTATTACTTTTCCATTTGTCATTGTTTCTAAAAATCACAGAAATAACAGTGTTTAATTTTTATGTGGAAAAAGTATTTTTTTAATATTTTTTGAGAGAGAGAGAGAGAGAGAGTTTTAATATTTATTTTTTAGTTTTTTTCGGGGGACACAGCATCTTCGTTTGTATGTGGTGCTGAGGATCGAACCGGGCCGCACACAGGCCCATAGGCGAGCGCGCTACCGCTTCAGCCACATCCCCAGCCCCGGAAAAAGTATTTTTGTGAGGTTATATTTCCATAATCCTGACAACAGTTTTAAAGTTTAAAAGGTCTGCTGATGTGTTTTGGATTAATTTGGTCAACAAATACAGTTTATCTTTTCTGAGTAAGATATTATGAAATTACACCATACTCAGAAAGTATTATCATCCACACATCTAAAAAGTTAAAATACCTGCTCAAATATAAAAGGGCAGAATAAGTTGTCATCACATTATTGTCAAAGTGAATGAAAAAGATAGTTCTAGGAAAATGGTGATAACTTTTTAAAAAGAAGTATAAAGAGTATATGGAACAGGGCGCAGTAGTATTTGCCTGTAATCCCAGTTACTCAAGAGGCTGAGGAAGGAGGATCACAAATTCAAGGCCAGCCTAGACAAACTACAGAGACCCTATCTCAAAATAAAGTAAAAAAAAAAAGCCTGGGGATGTCACACAGTGATACAGTGCCCCTGGGTTCAATCCCCAGTACCTTAAAAAAAAGCATATGTGAAAATGACTATCATATTATATATAATAATGTACATATACTCCATTAAAATAAATTTTAAATGAATTTGCTGATAAAAATTTCTTTTTCTAGCCAGAATTGGTGGTGAATGCCTGTAATTCCAGCTTGGGAAGCAGAGGCAGGAGGATCACAGTTCAAGACCAGCCTGGGAAATTTAGTGAGACTCTATTTCAAAATAAAATTTTAAAAAAGAGCTGAGTGGTAGAGCACTCTTGGATTCAATTCCCAATACCAAAAAACAAACAATTTTTTTCCACACTATATACTGTATATTTTTCAAAAGAATTTTTTTCTTAGACTAAATAACTACCTCTGTTCTTAATGCTTTTAATTAAGATATGGACTGTTATTTAGAGCTCTGTGGTGTGAAATTAGACCAGCAGTTTTTTAATATCCATAAAATAAATTAAAAACTGTTTCTCCTCTGAAAGACAGATAATTCAGTCACAGAAAGCTTATTTCTGTCTCCTTTGTTTTCTTTTTCTTTTTTTAGCTGCTTGGTAAGCCAATTTTCTACTTAGAATCTACTGTTAAAACTCTTATTTGGTTCAGTATGTGGGCTTTATCCTTTCCATGGTATGTTATGCAAAAAAGATAACTCTAATTTTTTTTTTTTTAAGTTTGCTATAAAGCAGTGGGCCTCAACTTGAATACCCAGGAGAATCACCAAGGAAACCCGGAAAAGATTATGAAGGCCCCTCCTATCCAGAGATCCTGAGGGAACTAGTCTGGGTGGATCCTCTCTGAGGTGATTGTAATATATTGTCAAGGCTAGGAACTACTATTCTAGGAACCTGCCAAATAAAAACTTATTATCTTTACTGATTAAAACCACATGGGAAATGCTTTTTTAAAACCTATACTTTAACAGATCCAAAAATTAAATTTCTTCTCTACACTGCTCTTTAAAAAAAAAAAAGTTTGAATTTTAGGGTATAAAAGCACACTGTATCTTTATTCTGGTGATTAGTTCAAGAAGTCCCCTACTACTAGTGAAAACTACTATAATAGACTGGTGGTTTTAATTCATGATAGTTTCAAGGAAAAAAAATGCTCTACTTCATAGTTAAAGATTATATCTTCATACACACACAAAGTAAAACAATTATTTTCCGAGAAAATAATTTTTTTTTCCAAAAAATATTCATTTTTGGCATACTGAAGTTCAAATACATTTTTGAAAAAGATATCTTTACAAATTTTCCCAGCAGGCTAATTTTGATAGAATAGCTGAAAGGGTCATATTCTAAAATAAATGCCCTTGCTACAGAAAGAAAATAATTATATACTTAATAGATTTGGAGTCAAAAGGGGACATTATACAATGATTGTGAATAAAAAAAATCATGTTTGGGCTGGGATGTAGCTTAGTGGTAAAGCATTTGCCTAGCATGTGTGAGTCCCTGGGTTTAATCCCTAGCAGTTAAAAAAAAAATCATGCAAAAATATCATATACAACCTTACGCAAATATATCTGAATACTTATATAAAAAGTTTAATTTTATAGAAATATAAATTATGGAAAACAACTCAGGAAAAAATAGAAACAATAAACTCTAAATATGGATCAGTAATGAAAAACTGTATCCTCCTTAAAAGACATCATACCCAGGTAATTTAACAGGTAAGTTTTACTGAAAACTCAGTATCAGATAATTCTTTTTGGTACTCAAGTCTTTTTAACTCCCCCTCCCTATCATCTGATCAGAATAAATAACTCCTTGTGGTTCGAATTTCAGTTTACACATACTCTATCCACAGCACATTCACACTTTTTCTCTCACTAGTGGACACTAAGATCACTGCAGGCAGGATAGTTTCTTAATCATATCTCCTGGTATGAAATACAGTATCTACTTACAGTCATACTCAATAGTTGCTGAATGACATAGCTTTTTCAGGTAGGAAAAACCATTAATGTGCGCATGCAGGTAATGGGAAATAATGAAGCAGTAAGTAATTCATCTGGCTAGAGCATACATTTATATAAGAAAAGAACACTGGGAAAGTAGGTCAAGGCCAGTCATCACAGGCTTTTCAGTGTTGAGGCTGAATTTAGTTTCAGCATCTACTGAAGTCATTTGAACAGGCAATGGCTAAACAAGATCTGTGCTTCAGAATCCAGATAAGCACATTTTTGAACTGTCAGGGACCTGGAGGTGACCTATCTGGTTTAAATCTATCACTTTAAAAATAAGAAAACTAGAGTCAGCCAGGGTAGGTGATCTACCTAAAGCCACAGAACACAGAATTAGCAAAAGGCAGGAAGAAGTTTAGAGGCATAAACTTGATTAAGGTTATAGTTAGCCAATGGTGTAATCAACAGACAAACCCAGATCTGTTCAACTCTGATGTCTATGATGTAGATGACATCAGGTAATGAGGGACACAGGCCATATGAACATGCTTTTAGACAACCCTAATTTCATTCTGTGCACTCATTTCAAATGAAGGTAATTTGTAAAGTGTATAACTAAAGGCTGATTTAATTGTTTTCACTTTTATTATATACAGAACATTTAATGGAATTCTAATTAGCTTAATTACTTTAAATCATGTTTATGAAGACTTTTACTCAAGGAGCTTCTGAACCCAAATCAATAAAATGGTGGACACAGACAGGATGTGCAGGGAACCAGCACTTGCTCTGTCCCATAAAATCCACATCTGAAGCACTCTCAGTGATTTTAGTCATTACAACTGAATTGGAAAAATTCTAGAAAAAGTAATCAAATTCTCTATAGCAGATTGAGAAGATTCCTAAGGAAGACATGCATAAATACTATGGATAAAATATTAGGACTCTTTGGTCTTAAAAGCCAGTCTCCCAGTTTATAAAATCAGAGAGGTAGATAGAGAAAATAGACTTGTTCATGTTATCTCAGAATACTAATTCTGAGAAATACTCTTCAGAAGTCTAAAAGATAACAGATTTAGAGGAAAATAAAGGAACACACCATTTCACCCAGATAAAACTTGAACAAAAAGGGAGGGAGAGCTCTTTTTTACAAGTTATAAAAAAAGATAAACAGAGAATTCTGTATTCAAAGTATAGGTACAAACTGAAAATACACACAGGTTTTCTTACAAGAGTGAATGAATAAACCATTGTCAGGAATAGAGTGGGGATTTTGTCCTCTCCTGGTAGATTAACGTTTTTGGTGCTTCTGTTAGAGACAGGATACTGCAGTGAGAAGGCTGCTGCTTTATAGCTTTTCTTACATCTTCTCATCCCACTGGTCATTTGGCATCACAAGGCCTTATACAAAATAGGCATTTGACTAATGTTTGTTAATTGACTGATTGAAGTCTGAAGAGAGTAACTGGTAACATAACTTTCATAGTTATGAAATAATGAACAAATTGTAGGATAGTACTAATGATAATGACAATAGTGAATAGTGATTCAGAGTTTACTGTATATAAGTACTACTCTAAATGCATGTATTAACTTATTCATCTATATTTACTTATTTTTCAAATAATGAAACTACAGCACATAGAGGTTAGTAACTTGCTCAAGCACATACAGCTAAGTAGTAGAAGAGCTAGATTTGAACCTAGAAGCCTGTGTTTTTAATCATTACAGTATTCCAGTCAGCCTTGGAATTGTCCATTTATCCTCTAGCTCTCATACTTTTTTAAGATTTCATTTCATATATAATTTCCTTTTTTGAGTATTTGAAAATAAACAATAGGTTTAAGACAATATTCATATTTTTCTCAGAACAGCAAAACTAATAACACTATTTTACTTGCACTTCATTAAGAGATATATATTTATTTTAAATTTACCTCCAGTTTTCCTTGAGTATAACCCAGGATCAGAAGATTGGCTCTGTCCTTCTCTGAAGAAATTGGGGCCCAAGGCCAAGCATCATCACTGACCAGTGGCCACCAGCAAACAACCATATCCTGAATACAATTGATAGCTAGACGACGCTCTGCTGTCCTGTTTACTGGACCAGGTAATTCATAATAGGAAATCTAATAGTTTAAAAAAAAAAAAAGAATACAAGAAACATTTCTTTTTAAAAGATGCAAAATCTTTGAAGTATTACTAAAATTAAAGCATCTGTAAATGTAAATACATGCAAGTAAATATGCATGTTAAACATGTGCTTAAGAAAGTGTCAGAATTTACCAAATTCTTTTGACACATATATAAAAAAGACATATGTTCAAATTCTCCCCATTTTTAGCAGAGGAAAGGAAAAGAAGAAATGTGAGTTAGGAAGGAATTGAATGTAGCAATTCCAATCAATACCAAAATGTACAGTCATGGTTGCTTGACAGCATCGACCTACACATAGGATTTAAGACCAGCTGTATTAAATGACAAGTTCAGTACTGCTGACCAAGAGTGTCGAACTACTGTTTAAGACATAACATGTTAACAATGACTGACAACAATAAAAGGAAAAACAACTTGAGGCAAATATCTCTTTAAAGAATATACGAGACATATACACATATATTCTGCATAAAAGGGATAAGCCACAGCATCATGCGTAAAAGTTTATGCAGCTTCTGAGAATTATGCTCCTCTTTCTTAGGAAGGATTTGTAGAATTTATTATTCAAACTATGTTATTTTGGAACATGGTTATTTGAAAACATAAGCACGGCACCATCTGGGTGACACATGCCAAGGAAATATAGATTGCACCGTATTTCTGCTTAAGGAATTAATGGAAGGTTGATAGCTTGGAAGAAAAAAAAACTATCTTGCCATTGCTGGTCAGCAATAATCGAACCACTTTCTGGGGATTAAGCGCATGGCTAAGCCTACTGGACCAGACACTAGCAAAGGGCAGGGGGTCTTCTTATCAGAGAAATGCTTCTGGAGCCAGTCTCACTACATGACAGATTGCTTTCATATTCCTGTCTGCAAGGCAACAAAGGATGGCAGTAATGCGATAATGCCAGAGTGCAATGGGTGTTAAGAACCCGTTGCATTTATGTATTGTATTTAGTAAATAATCAGGCTCATCCAAATTGTGATCTCACCACTCAACCAAGGCCATTAAAATCAAGGTTAATGCTTTAATAATCCTCTGCTATTTTTTTTCAATATGGTCAAAAGGAACCCTTTTCTATTTGCATGGCCATAATATTATTGACCTCTTCATCCTCTGAATGCACATCAAAAGGAACTGAAATCAAAGTAATTACCAGTGTTGTTCTCTCATGGTAAACATTTAACTCCCTACACTGTCCCTTCAATGTTAAATTGAATTGGATTTTTAAAATATAGACAGGAAAACTTGTTAAAGGTCAACAGTTTCAGGAATATTTACCCTGAAATTTCCTTTGCCAAAATTATTTCAATCTGAAATAATTAAATTATGGCACAGTTGTAAAGAAAAGCAGAATTATAATACTCTCTATTATCACTTCCTTGATTTAAAATCCAACTGGGCAAGGACAAAACACAGGTGTACCTTGTGCTTTTAAGTGCAAATTTCTATATTTAAGTTCTCAGTATATTAACTTCATACTTAAGAGAAATACCACTTTGGAATTGCTAAGTACTTACAAATACACACACATTCTATTTTGATGTACAACTTGCCATGTAAGCATGTTATTTAAAAATTTCTAGACAAGAGAATAGAGTTAAAATGAGTGACTGGCATTTTCAGTTCTTACATAAAGCAAATCAATTATCTGAAATTTCACATTTCCTATGAATATTAATGGTATTAGTAGTCTGTCATGATCAGGAGTTATTAGCATCCTGTCATAATAAACAAATTTCTTAAAATATCCTTTGAATGGATATAATTATTCATATATTTATATTTTAAATATTAAAATATGAAGTGAAATTCATGGGTTTTCCAAAGGGAAAGAGATTACTTCTCAAAGGTATAGAAATAATGTGGAGAGTCCATGTTCCTAATTTTCCAAATCCAAAGGCATAAAGAGTAAAAAAATTAATTGCCTGTTTAAGGTATAATAACCCAAAGACTAGGTCTATTTTCCACATATTTTCATAAGGAAAACTGATAACCTGATAGTTTTTCTCTGTCCTCATTATCAGGGAGCTATTTATCTATCAGTTGAGAAGACTTAACCAAGCTACTCATCAAACCTAAGATGAAGAAACAATCATACAAAATTTTATATAACATCATTAACAACACTTACTTTAAATGTTTTCAGTTAATGCATACTGGCATATTTTAAAGGCCAATATCAGTAAGTAAAAAATATTTCAAATAAATCTACAGGTAGCTGTTTAGAAAATAACATCATTTTAAGAATGCTAAAGGAAATTATATTTTTGACTAACCAAATCTAATATGTATCACTGATTTTTCAATTGAAGAAAATCAATATTACATAAAGTTTTATAGAAGCACCACAAAGCTGACAAACAAAACCAGACTGTAGTTAAACCATAATGAAAACCTTGCTTCATGTACTTTAGTCTATGCCCCAAAATTTTATTAAATAATAGATGCTTTTACTAAACAATCCCCATACTACTACCAAGTCAATCATAATAAATAATAATCCCAAATGGCAAAAAGCTCAGTAAAATACAACTTTTCTAAAAATACACAAATTTCAGACACAGAGCTAGCTTCTAAAAATCTTTGTCTTTGCTATAAATACTCTAGGTATGACATAAGTGTGCATCTTTCTTAAGGAAGCTGTATATCAGCTGTGTTCCCAATGAACAGTGAACTGTCTCAAATCCATGACACAGAGGCTGGATCAATCTTGCAAACACAAGTCATTGCTGAAAAGAGGCCTTGAACTGAAACAGCCTGGAAAATGTATTAGATACCCATCCTAGCAGAGAGTATGTCTTCCCAGCGGTTAAAATGTAATATGAAAAAATTTAAACATATCACTTAAAATAAAAATCTTGCGTTAATAAACATAAAGTACTTGATAAGTCTTTTATTTTTAAATGTGTTTTGTTGGTGGTGGGGCTGGTATTGTTGTTTTATGTTTTGTTTCTTGTGAAATGGAAATCACAGCAGCTATATGAGTTCTTAGGGGAAAATGAGATTGGTGTGTATATTGCTGCTGGCAAGAAAACCATTTTCAAAAGTGTAACTTGCCTTTGACTTCCATAAGTACTATAAAAACTGCTCCAAATATGCCAGTGTTAAGGACCTCCTTCTCTTCATAGAGTGAAAAAGAAAAGTTAGGATGTCCACTGTTTATATGAATAAAGCTTAATCCTACAATAATTCTGGTTTTTCTGAAATCTTGAAAGGTTCAAGGAAAATAAACATAACATCAATTCATGTAATACTCTAGTATGCCTTAAGAACTAATAATATGACTATACACATTGAAATCTCTACCTTGTAATCTAAGGCTGAGAGTTTTTCCAATCTTTTGTTTATATCAGGAGAATCCATCTTCTTGGAAAACTGAATAAAACATAGTTTGTTCTGCACCAAAAATGATAAGATGATGAAGCTGTCTGTGAGAAGAGCTTAAAAAAAAAGGTTTGATAATACCAGTTAGAATAAAATTATAATGAATATAACAGATGTTTTTCACTGAAATACTATAACAAAATCTATTTTCAGAAGATAAATATAATTGAAATCACTAATGTCTCCTAAATAGCATGATGTTTTACAAGGATATTGAACATATTAAAAATGAATGATAACTATCAATCTATTCATATGGATTTGGTGTCTTCCTCTTTTTCTTATTACTATTTCAATATACACTGATGTTTGGAGATCACTCTAAATGATACATATGTGGAACCAAGACTAGAAAAGCATAAAAGAAAGACTATTTCACACCTGAATGTGATGATGGAAAAACAACATTTATTTTCATTTGTGCTTAGACTCTAATTCTATGTTCATATACCACAAACCATCTAAAAATAAGTGGACTGATTAGGGGATACTACCAATCAGTGTTCTCTACCAATCTCTTTTTAAAATTTTCATTAGTGATCCTTCTTTTGAGGGTTAACAGCTTGCATGAAAATATCCAGAATGAATATTAAGTTAGTATTTAATAATGAAGATTAGCAAAAACACATCTACAGCTTCATTTCTAAAGCATACAAGTAGATAGATAATTAATAGCAGGGTTATATAAACAACCATTAATGGTATATGAAATTATGATTAAAATATATAATAGGAATCTGAGGAATGTTTCGTGTTATTCCTAGCATAAAAAATTATTGAATGTTTTATAATTTTTTTTTGTATTTTTATACCCCTGGCCATTCAAGCAGTGACCAACAGTGTATCTACACAATTACAGGAGAATCTGGAGAACTGCCAAGAAATCACATTGTTATCATAGTCCCATGAGAGTGTATTATTTTGGGTACAAATAAAAGAAACAAGTGAAAAAAGATAACTCAAAGACATGAATAGTATTGGAAGTCTCCTTTTAATTCTTACAGAGGAGCATCAATATGACAAAATCATCACAGCCACAATTTCATTTGCAATGCTCTTTTATTAGAATATGAAAATGGAACCTCTTCCACAGGGAAGCTTCCTCAGCACCATATTCCTACAAGGAAGGGGAAATGGCATGCTTACAATCTTTTTCTTGTTATCAGTAATGTTGCTAATTACAGCAATCCTGCAGAGTGCTTTTTTTTTTTTTTCCCCTAGTACTGGGGCTTGAACTCAGGGGCACTCGACTACTGAGCCACATCCCCAGTCCTATTTTGTATTTTATTTAGACACAGGGTCTCATTGAGTTGCTTAGCGCCTTGCTTTTGCTGAAGCTGGCTTTGAACTCAAAATCCTCCTGCCTTGGGCTCCGGAGCTGCTTGGATTATGGGAATGTGCCACCGTGCTGGCCAGAGTATTTATTTTTTAAGGTGACATGATTGTGTCTGATTTGTTCAGAGAGCACACAGTGGACAGAAGGCTTTTTTATTCTCACCTCTGTCCTCTCCTCCCCTAGACTACATTTTCCTTTGATTATTCAATTTAAGATACTAACCATTTTAACCTTTCATGATGATACAAACTGTTTTTAGACCATTTACTTTGAATGAAAGAACATCATCATAAAAAATTCAGGAGTTAGCATAGTGTTATGGAAAAAAAATGAGCACTGTAGTCAGAACCTGTGTTCAAATCTTAGCTCAGTTATTCTCTAGCTCTGTAAGTCTGGGCATATTCCTGAGTAGCTCAACTTCAGGGTCCTCATCTAATAAAAATGGAAATAACTATATCTTATATGGTTATTTTCTTGGATTAAATGATATAGGTGGGTTGGCACCTATCACTGAGCTTTTATGACTTAATAAATGTCAGTTAACCTTCCTATTCAATAAGTAGCTTAAAATCTTTTTTTGTGCTTTGTACCAACGATACATACACTTGTGGTGCCATTTAATAGAACCAGATTTATCCAGTATTTTTGGTACTGATCTTTCTTTCTTTTTTATTTGTGGTGCTGGGGATTAAAACCAAGGCCTCATGCATGCTACACAAATACTTGATCAATGAGCTACACTCCCAGAATAGCACTGATTTTTAATACTTAGAAAATATAGCCTCACATCTCCCAAAATATAGTATTCATAGGTTTTAATAACAAAGAATCTTTCTGTAAGAGCCAAAGCACTTATGATCTTTTTTCAACTGGTGGCTATGTAGACATATTTGTGTTATTTATTCAAAATTAATTTCGATATGAAAATATTTGAAATGTCAGTAACAGAGGAATAATTTTGAAAGAATAGAAAAAAACCTATTTTAAAAATAAGGTTTTGTTTTTTTAAAGGAAGACTGAAAAATACTCAGAATATGAGTCTAACACTTGACAAGAAAAAAACATTGATATTTAATATTAGTTCAAACTTGTATTGGTCCCAGGGGTTGTAAGTATGCTATTACAAGCAATTACTTGTTGTGTTTGCAAGTCCCCAGTGGTAATAATTAGTCTACCTGTTGACACACTATTTCTCCTGCCCCACTGTTAATGTAGGCAATTGATTTGCACATGGGGGTAATTACCATCACTGATGGTGTCTGAGATGAGCTTCCCCACCAGGCTTCTGTCAATCACCACTTTCTCCAGCTGCGGCCCAGAAAGACTTAGGGACACCAGCACACCTGAACCAAAGAGGAGCTAAAATCAGGTAAGGGGGAGAGAGGAAGACATGCTAAGAATTAGAATCTTAAAAATCTTTCTCCAAATGTAAAACTTATACAGTTATTTACATCATGAAATCATGAAGTTTTGTTCACTGAAAAATAATCACAGACATTCTTAGTAAAAAAGAGACAGGTGGCTAAATGATGCAAAACACTAAGTACATTGATTAAAGCTATATGCAGAAATCTTAGTGCATGTTTATTAGAAGCTTAATCTTCTAAATATGTAATGTTCAGGCAGAAATAACTGTTTTGTTTTGCTTTCATAAAACATAGTATATTCTACTAAAATATTTGAAATGTTTTCTGTATCAGATACCAAAAGAATATTTCTTGAGGTTTGAACAGTCATTGTTATACATTACATATATAAAAGAAGCCACTATTACAATATAAACAGCTAATGTTGATTTATTTGGAATTTAAATCCTATTTATTTCCAAAAATAAAAATCTTGTCAGTCTAACATAATGCATGTAAATCAAGGCAATTAAGTAAAATTCTAAATTTTAAAAATAATAACACCTACCATAAACAATTTCACAAGGAGAGAATAATATAATAAAGCTTCCAGATTTTATCAAAATCAGTGTTCAAGCAATCACCCAACAAAAGATGACTGGATATCAAAATTATAAGTTTATACTGCTTCTTTCCATTTGTGGCAGCATAATTCATTCATCTCCAAATGTTTAAAACTTCTGAAAGGACTATGCATATGCGTCTGCTTGTTATCCATGAGATTTTGAAATATCAACATTGGAAGAAATTGTTTCACCTTCAAGGCAACAGACTCAAAGCTGATGAATCATGGAATAGCATATGGTATAAGAAGAAAAAAAACCCAATTGTCAGTAAACTAATCATGAATATGCTAGCCAAACGAAAAGAAAACTATGATTTAAATAAAACAGGGGAATTCCCCACCCACCTAGGCTTCGTGTCCTAGCTAGAGAGGATGATTCCATGTTAAGACATATTTAGACCCGTGTGAAAGACAAGCAGCACCAGGGACCAGAGTTCTAGAAAGAAAGCCTACTATTCTACCACTGCCCAACAGATTTCAAGTGTATGAATCAGAAAAGAAACTGAAGGGGGTCCCTTTATATACAGTGTTAGAATCTTTGTCCTTACCAACAGATGCACTATCTTATTTCATGTTAATACTTCTATAAGAGCTAAGGCAGGCAGGGTAAGAAGACTTAATCACTGTTATGAGTTTCAGAGACTAGTAAGAGAAGGCACATTTGTTCCAGGAGTTTCAAAATACTTCACAAATTAATTAATCTCCACTGAATTACATGCATCCCTGCATGATGTCTTGATGGCAAATGCTGACAAAATCCCTATGGGAATTCCTCACAGCAAAACAGCATGTGGTCTTCACTTCCCAAATTTTCCCTTCTCAGGCAATTTTAGGATCATCTTTCATATCTAGCTTCCTCTCTCAACAGATTCTTCTCCCCTTCTTTTTTTTCAGTGCTGGGGATTGAATCCAGGGCCTCATGCATGCTAGGCAACTGCTCCATGACTGAGCTACACCTATCCTTTTCTGTTAATTTTTATCTACTAAAAATTTATATCTTATACTTCTAAGCACTTCTTTTCCTAATTATTCATTGACTCCTACTTTCTTATGCACATTGGTTAGGTTATGTTTATCTTTGTATCATTAATGCCTAGTATAACACCAGGCATACAGTAGGTGCTCAATATATATTTGGAGAAAAAAATCAAAACTAACTCTTCATTAGATAATCCATCTGCACATGGAGATAAGAGCACTTGGGCACTACTTGGGCACTGTGGGTCTTGAACATTCCTTCAGAATCTTTCTCAAAGTCTAAGTTCAGTCACTTATCCATATATTCATTCATTCACCTACAGATATATATATATATATAAATTTAGCACACTGTTATGAGCCAGGCACTGTTCTGAGTGCTAAGGATAGAGTAATGAACAAAACTGACAATGCCCTTACCTTCTCTGTCCTCATTTGAGTGTGGACATAGATAATATAGTATTAGATAGTGATAAGAACCAAGGAGGAAAAACACAGTAAGTTCAGAATTTTTAGGAGGATGCTATTTTAAACAGGATGATTAATTAAAGAAATAACAGCCTCCAAGAGGAAATGACATTTGAGTACAGATCCAAATAAGAGAAGGAACAAACCATACAAATGATTGCAGAAAGGGAGTTCAAGGCAAACAGTAAATGCAAAAACTCAGGTTTGAATGTATCTGAGTGACTGAAGAAAACTAGGCCAGTACCTCTGGAGGGAAATGAGGGAGAGGAATATTCACAGAGGAAAAAGGTAGAGACATAGTCAAGAGTCACAGATTGGACCTTGTTGATGAGAAGCTAGTGGGGTATATACAGCAGAGAATTACAAACTAATTTATGTTTTAAAGAGGGGCAGGGCAAAAGCGGAAGAAAAAAGACCATTAAAAGGCTACTGCAGTAGAAGAAGACGATGACTTGAACCAGAACAGTAATGCTGGGAGAAATGATATGTGGACATATTTGAGATATATTTTAAAGAGTATCCACTAGAACTTGCTGAAGGGTTGGATGAGGCCTGTAAGAGAAAGACTCAAAGTTTTTGGTCTCTGCAACCAGGTTAGTGAGATAAGGAATGTTAGAGGAGAAAAAAAATTCAGATTATGGGAAATCAAGAGTTTGTATTTGGACATAAATTTAAAGTGTCTATGGAAATAACTGGACATATCCAATAGAAAATCAGAAATTACTGTGAGTGGGGACTAGATATGTATATTTGGGAGTTATTAACACTAGAAAGGTAGTATTTAAAGTCATGAAAATGGGCAAGCTCTTAGGAAATGTGGGGCGGGGTCCAACATATGAACTCTGGGGTATCCCAACTTTAGACATTTTAAAAGATCAGGTTATTCTTCTTACTGAAACTGAATTTGGGCACCTGTTATGATAAAGGTATGTCCACCATTTCAGATCTCTCAAAATGTTCTGTGGCTAAAGGCATCCCTAATACCAGATTTTGGAATATGAAGAAATACATAAATTAATAAGCCAATTAATGCATTTTATAAAACACCCTGTGGGGAAGCATGAGATTTCCAAGTTCTGGTGCCAAAGACACTCCTGGAGGTAGTAAAGGAGATAAGTAGAGATAGGAAAAAAATAGTCTGAAACTCGAAAAGAATATTCCAGCCCAGACAGGAAGGTGCTAGTCTCACCTCTGCCTGTTTTCCCAAAGTGGTTAGTCTTTAAAGCCTCCAAAAAGGAAAAGGCCTGTGTGAGATTTATTAGGGCAAGAAGGATAAAGGACACCAAGATAGTGTCCTATTCCAAAGGCAAGGGGTTTCAGGATTCTGAAAGCTCAGAAAAATGAAAAAGAGCAGGCTAAGTGGAAAGGGAGGCACCTCTAAAGCAGATATGAGCTTGAGAAGAGCCCTGAGGATGAAAGGATGAGAAGGCCAGTGGGATTTCCCAACATTGTCTCAATTTGAATAATGTTTGTTATGCAGGAGACTACTAAGGCAGAATAGGAACAGAGACTTGTTTTCTCTGACATCCTTCCAGGAAATGACTGCATCATTTCCTTCTTCTCATTTTCTTCAATGAGCTTATACCAGAGAGGTATGTTTTCTCTTTAAGAAACTCGGAAATGATTCTAAGGTTCTTTGGATGGCTCTTCAAATTGGTTTCTCTTGCCGAAGTTAGAGTCTACAGTGCTTAGAGTGAGTACTTAATTGGAAGTAAACTGGTACTTTGAGAAGAAACAGAAAATTAAGATTACATCATTTATCAAATCAGAATATAAACAAAAATGTCTATTTCATCCACTCAATAGTTCAAAAACTATGTGAGCACCTTCTGTGTACCAAATATACAGATGGAAAACTGATGGTACACAAGGCAGAAACAAACTGGTAGAAGATGTATAGAATACAAAAGATCTCATTTTAGAGACGTGGCTTTAGTTAGGATAGAGGACTGCTTCTTAGAAGAGGTAGCTTAGAACATACAAAGAAAAGAAACACACCACACCTGGTATCAAGTATTGACGAACTAGTACAAGTAATTGTGAATAAGCTCTTTTACAATAGTGATCAACAGTGACCATTGAATCAATATTTTCACTATTTAAGAAAGACCCCCCGCCCCACAATTCATGTGATTATTATCACACATGGGTAGAAATGATAAGGAAAGGCATTCATGGTCAGTACTAAAAATCAACAATGGGTGATATGCTCAATCCACGATTGGTGGACAGCCAAGACTGATCCCATGAGATCATTAAGATCCATATGGGAGATAGCAGTATTAAACATTACAATCTAGAGAGTCAACAAGTAATCAAGATGCTGGGAGTAAATTCTAGGGCTTGAGAAAATAAAGTATGATAGAGCCACTTTCCTAGAGGCCCAGTGAATTTGCATGATAATGATACTTCATACTCCCTTAAAATCCAATCCATTGGATGAATTCCAGAGAAACTGAGAAAACCACAGATATTAACAATTTTACACAGGGAAATCTATAATGAAGACTAGAATCACCGATTATTTTAGCAGATAATTTGCTAGAAAAGAGAGAATATGTTCTCTGTAATTTATTCCTTCATTCAGCAAACATTTATTGAGTATAGAGGAAAACCACGTCTGACTAATCCATTAAAGTAGTGAGACAAAAGTAAATGTAGCTAAGACAAGGATGAAAAAAAATCAAATGGACTCACTATTCAGAACTGACTTTAAGAAATAAACAGGTATTTTTCTGGAAAGAGAAGTGTTGGTTGTGTAGTTTCTCAAAGAGCTGTGTAACGTTATTTGATATATGGAACACATTCATATCTAAAAATGTAGCTGCCTGATAAGTTTATTTCAATTTAACAAATTTCATTTTATTAATTATTCTCATCATAAAACAAATAATGCTACATTTTAATTTTGTGTGTTTACGTAAGGAAAAGCGATCATTCCA